TATCTAGCAAGCACGATAACCACTGCGCAAAGGCTGCACTATAATATCAGAAAATTTAGAAGGGATTCAGCAGAGTAGAGCAACAACTTCAAGAGCAAATAGTAAACTAGGTATTATTGCCAAAACTTTTATTTATAAAACTTGTAACTCTTTCATATTGCACCTACGTAAGACCACATCTCGAAACCTCCTTACTTTAAAGATTATGTTTATATACTCGAAAATGTGCAGAGGCATTAATTAAATTGATACCTGAAATTAGCACCGATCATACGAATAGAGGTTAATCAAACTTAATCTATCAGTATTGAATAAAAAAAGAACTCGTGGTGATTTAATTTAGTTTTATAAATTTTTCTATCATATTAAAGACATCTCAAGGTACTAACCACCTAATTTTTTTGCATCATTGTTGTAGTCTGGATCACAAGAAGGAATCAAATTAAATATAGTTTATGCATTTAACAGGTAAAATGCAAAATTAGAGAAAATTTCTCTACAAATCGAATTGCAAAAGCATGAAATAGTCTACCAGAACCAACCATCAGGCCAAAATAGAATAATTTCAAGAGCATATTTAAAAACTCATTATCGAATACTTTTAATAAGTTTCCTTATAATTATACTTTAACAAAAGTTGTATAACTTCAATTTATTATCTAAATTAGTAATTGTTTAATTATCATAGACGCGGCGTTAAATCTCAACAACCTATCGTACGTGATATTAATTTATAAATTATCGTTAATTTATAAATTAAATATCGTATTATTTTATTAAGTAACAAAGGCTTTGCTTATGTTAGATGTTTGTCAACTGTTTAAAAGCAACATTGCCATTTACTGTTTGAAAACATTTGATGGAAATTTCTTATAAATTACATTTTAATGTATTCCAGCATATTAAATTACATTAAAATATGAAAATATATGGGAATTTGATTTTAGGTTTAAATATTTTACCTGACTCCTCAACTCATTTAAAAGACAGATTTCATATTTTACTATAATTCTTTCGTCAATTAAATTTTTCAAGCGCTTAAGTTTTATTGTTTTTCCATTAAACACACAAAATATTTTTAAACGAACATACTGCCTAAATGAAAAATAATCCGAAGTATGTTTGTTTAAAAATATTTCTGAAATCTTACTGAGTCTGAACTTTGCACTGCTGAGTTTAAAAACATACTCAAAAGGAAATCTGAATAAAATAACTCAGTAAATTTTTCTATTATTATTACTATTATTATTATTGTTATTATTATTATTATTGCTATTATTATTATTATCTTCCCAGCAAACATGTCAGCGTTGAATCAACGTTGAAAACCGGTCGCAAAAGATGTTGCGGAAACGTTGACAAAGTAATCGATTTTGCAAAGATATGTGACGTTGTTAAAGAGACGTTCATAAAACGTTGTAGCGCAACGTTGAAAAAACGTTACTAAAAGACGTTACAAAAATGTCTCAACTAAACGTTGAAAAAGCGTTACTTAAAAAGCGTTGCATAGGCGCCGCAACTTAACGTTGAAAAAACGTTACTTGAAAAGCGTTACTTTAACGTTGTTAAAGCAGTTGATTTTGCAAAGATTTGTAACGTTGGTAGAAAAACGTCGATTTAACGTGACTCAAAGACGTCGAGTAAAGGTTGAAATATAACGTTAAATCAACGCTCAAATGCGCTGGAGAAAATATCGCAAAATATTATTAAACGTGATTAAACTTGGTTTAACGTATATAGAATTTGCAAATAAAACAAAATTGTATGTTGAACTCTGCACTTGCAATATTTCCAAAGTCGATTTTTATACAAATAGTAATATACAATAAAAAACATAAAAAATATACAATTTATTTATATAAAAATTACAATTTATAGATAAAAATAAAAACATCTTTTTTGAGATTTATGTGTGTGAGTGAATTTACAGGAATTACGTGTGTGAGTAAAATTTGTATGTGAGTGGATTTACAGGATATCGTATCGATAAGCCAGGATATCATTGAGATACAGAATCTAAATCAAAAAATAAAATTTGTATCATTATCAATCTGAAAGCAAATGTTTAAAAAATGTTATTGAATTAGTATGATTATTATTAATTTTAAAAAATAAAAATAAATATATATATAAATAAATTATATATATATATATATATATATATATATATATATATATATATATATATATATATATATATATATATATATATATATATATATAATATATATATATATATATATATATATATATATATATATATATATATATATATATATATATATATATATATATATATATATATATATATATATATATATATATATATATATATATATATATATATATTGTGATATTCGTAATGGCATAAAATAAGTAATTGTTTTTAAAAATAACACAACGTTTTTTATTCTTGAAATATTTTGTAGTAAATAACTGGGGTTGATATTTGACTGGGGCCGGGGCCGGGGCCGGGTTTGATAAAATATAGCCGGGGCCAGGGCCGGGTATGAGACCAGGCTGCATAAACATTTATACATCCTAAAGTATATTTTTTAAATTTAAATTCATGCTATATTTTGTATATATATGCATATATGAACATCATTGTGATCAACATGATCGTCATAACCATCATAACCATCATCATCATCATAATCATCATGATCATCAACAGCATAAAAGCGGAAAGCTTGACAATGATAATAAAAATTATGTTGATGTTGTTGATCGTTATCATGATAATCATCATCATCTTTATTATGGCACTATGTAAAGCACACTCTTCAAATTTTCTTACATCTACCACATTCATTTTATACTGAAGCTGCTACCACTCTACATGTTAATACCTGAATTACTTTAACTTTTTCTAAAAAATACTACACTATATAAATACTAAAGTTTATACAACAATGAAAGGATATTGTATGCCAGCATTTAAACAAATAGCAAACAAATATGCTTATATCTATAATATGTGTGCAAAAAGTGCATCTTGGAAGCTTAAATTGCTTCTGGAATAAAAGTTTGGAAGCTTTTATTACTTCTCTTCAGTTTTAAATCAAGCCTCATTCTACTCTACATTTTTCAACATTAACTATGTTTTTCAGTTTTTTTTTAAGAACATCTCTTTTAAGAAAAAGTTGTCCTTATTATTGTTGCAATAAGCTAATGTATAAATAAAGTCTTGTCTGATGTAAATTTCTGTTATTCTCAGTTTACTAAACCTTAAATCTTATCTTAGATGTTGATTCTAGAGACTTTTTGTTAGTTTTCAACAGTGTTATTAACTAAAGCAAGTCTGACGTTTAATCTCTATCTTATGGGTCTCATCTTTGTACTTTACCCCAGAGTAAACAGAGCTATTTACAAGGAAATCTATATATTTATATATATTATGGCCGTTATATTTATGTAATATAATGGCCATACTCTTCCTGACAGTAAAATATTTTTGCTAAACTTTCAATTAATCCATTGTTAAACATCGAAATTACATACAAACTTTCAATTAATCCATTGCTAAACATCAATATATATATATATATATATATATATATATATATATATATATATATATATATATATATATATATATATATATATATATATATATATATATATATATATATTCTCATCAACTATATACTCGTCAACTTAAAACAAAATAAAACATTGCCAAAATTAAGCTAAATAAATCGAATTTACCCTGAGATTTATGTACTTTATATACATTTTGATATAAAATCTAAAAGTTTTAAATTAGTCGCAATAAAATAGGCTATAAAATGTAACTTTATTAAACAATTTTTTAAACCATATGCATGCATTCTATCAAGTTTTCTTTGCCTTTCCATTACGGCAAATTATTTTTGTAATGGCTAGTTATTGAGACAATAATTTTTAATGTGCCACTTCCTCAACATTGTCAAAACACCGTTTTATTATCGTTGGCAAAGTAACACTTTTTCAACGTTTTTTAATTACCACATTTTCAACCAACGTTGAAATAACGTTGAATAAATGTTGTTTTTCAAATAGTTTAAATTCGTTGAAAAAGCAGCTAATGTCTAACGTTGATAAACCATTACCTTTGCGACGTTTTTACAGTGATTATTTGCGTACTTTTTTTCAAGATTTAATAAACGCATTTTTTTGAGAAGATAAGATACGTTTAAATTTAAACGCTTATTCAACGTTGAAAATGTAACGTTTAAAAAGCGGTTTGTTTTTAACGTTGATAAAGAATATACTTCGAAACGTTTTTAAAGTGACTTTTTGCGTAAGTTGATTCCACGTTGAATAAACGTTTTATTTTGAGAAGCTAAATTACGTTACAATTTCAACGCTTATTCAACGTTTCAATTTATCGCGATTTAGTATACAAAAACAGACATTGATTCAACGTTGAAAGCATGTTGTTTTTGTGACTGTAACGCTTTTTCTACGCTGCGACTGGTTTTCAACGTTGATTCAACGCTTACATGTTTGCTGGGTTATTATAACCATTATTAAAAACTTTTTTTTTTAATCAACAAATTTAGATGAATCTAAATTTGTTGATTAAAAAAAAAAAAAACAATTGTTGGAAAAAATGAAATTCACATAAAACGTCATCAGAAAAAACCAACAAAATCCTTTTATGGAAGTATTATATATCTTATTAATGCAATTAGTAAAATTAAGCTAAAAATAACTTTGTAACCGTCATATTTGTAATTAATTAGCAATTATGTTTATTAAACGCAATAACGTTGTGTGCGTTAACGCACATTTATTAGTCGAAAGATATACCTGTGGCTTTTTTTTTATGAATTTGATATTCGTTTTTAATTTGCAATTAAAATAATTATCCTTTAACTATCATCCACCACATTCCAATTAAAAAAATTTTTTGGGTAATATTTTAATAAATTTTATGGGTAGTAACTAGATTAAATATTTCTAAAATAGCTTTGTAAAAATGTATAAAATAAGCAAAAAATATATTTCAGTTACACATTTTAGTTGAAAGGATCAACAACGCAAAAAAAAAAAAATGGCTAACTTCAGCTTAATTGTTATATTCCTTGTTTCATTTCAGTTTTTCGTAAGTGTAAATATATATTATAAAATGCATGACTATGAATAAAATTGATTAAACTTGATAAATATAAAAGCTAACTAAAGATATTAATAAAGATTTTTGATAGTGGTAACAAATTTTCTTTATAACTTTTTAACGCAACTTATTTTTTTTAGCTGAGTGAAGCAGAAATAAATAAAATTACTGATGTAAAGTAAGTTTAACTTATTTTGGCGGGAGGATAATAAACAAAATTTTTTATAAAAATGTCAATCCTTTTTTTTGAGTGTTTAACAAAATTTGCAATGTATTTAGAAATAAAGACAATGATTTTGAAGACGAATCAAATGAAGTAACTATTTTATTTATAATTAATATTACATGTCATTTTAATTTGTTTAATGTTTTAAGGTTTATAGTTCACGATCAGTTTAAAAATATATATTAATTTCATAACCATACGATATCTTATAAAATTACATGATAACTAAAATGTGTACATGGTTATGTCGTACTATTTAATACAATATAAATTTAGCTTAAGTTTAATGTAAAAATAATTTAATGTACGCTAAAATATACCTCAAGCTAAAATAAAAATTTACGGTTTAAGGTATACGCTATAGTTGTTTGTCCAAATATACGCTATAGTTGTTTGTCCAAATGATCTAGCATATATGCGCACGTTTTTATTATTTGTTTGTTTTTTTTCATCGTTGTTTGTCTAGATTTATTTAGGATTTAGATAAACGTCTTTGGGAAATTAACATTTTGTTATTTAGAAAAACGAAGAGTTACCTTTGGATAAATTGAATGATTATGGTGGAGGTTATGGAGGAAAATATGGTGGAGGTTATGGTGGAAAATATGGTGGAGGTTACAAAAAAGAAATGTAAGGTTTTAAAAACAACCAACTCTTTAGACAAAATACAAAGTTTTTTATTAGCCACAGTTTTTAGAGTCTGGGACCAACAAACTCTAAATCCTGTCCCCCAATGTAATGGCAATAATTTACTAACCCCAAATGTAATGGTAATAATTTACTAAGTTTTATGTTATCATTAATTTAAAGTAAATTACATTCACCTGTAGATTTCAGATTTAAACGTAAAGTTTTCAACCTTTTAAAAGTAAACAGGTTATAAGCTTTTGCTTCATTCATATGGCAAATATTTGAAGTTTGCTACATATCTAAAAGTTATCTTTCTTAAACACAAACAAAAGCAAAAAAAAAAACAGTTGCGATTCCTTTAATTAATTAACTGCTTTTATAATTAAATTTTATTTTTATATTGAAATTTTCTTACTTTTGTTTTTAATTGTTTATTTTTTTCAGAGGGAATATGGGAAAGTATAATTTATTAAATTATTTAATTAATTTATTTTTTAATTTAATAAATTTAATCGTTTTATTATTACTTTTTCAAACAATGTTTTAGAAATAAAGAAAACGATTTTGAAGACGAAACCAATGACGTAACTATATTTCTTTTATAAGTTTTTTATATACTATATTTTTGATATATTTATATATAAAAAAATGTTATGTTATAAACTTTAAATTTTTTTTTACTTTAATTGTTATGATTCAGATCAATCTTTAAAATTGTTTCATTTTATTATTCTAACAAAATTATTGACATCTATTTTCTATATCATCGCCTCAACTTTTAATACATCCAATGCCGTTATGAGATAAATCTGTTGCTATATAACTACCGATATTTTAAATATCAATTTGTATCAAGTATTTTTATCAATCAACATTATTTAGAAAAGCGAAGAATCGTCTTTAAACGAAATCAATGATTATGGTGGAGGTTACGGGGGAAAATATGGCGGCGGTTATGGAGGAAAATATGGCGGAGGTTATGGAGGAAAATATGGCGGAGGTTATGGAGGAAAATATGGCGGAGGTTACAAATGAGAAGCGTAAAGTCGTAACTAAAAAAAAAAAAAATTTTAATTAAATTTCTATTGTTGCGTTAAACAATTTTTTATATATCTTAACTGAAAGTTTTAACTATAAATTGTAATTAAAATGCAGTTTATATTAAAGAGTTTAATAATTGTGTTTTGATTGAATTAAATACATTATAATATATTCTTACAGTATACTACTTTTATTTCTTGTCTAAACATTATTTATTGTTTAAAAATTTGCTTAAAAACCCTGCTTACGATTTTTAAGTTAAATAATCATTTATGAGACAATTTTTATTATTTTTTAGCAATGTTATATTTTATGTTTTATTGGTCTAATTTTGTCTATTTTAAATATTTTTAACTCAAAAATTCAAACAGAAATTACCGAAAAAAATTAGGAATTGCAAAAATCTTGAAGCGTCCCTTCAGGGTTTATTATAGACCAACTTCAATTTTTTTTTTTTTTTTTATAAGCTCCTTGAGAGAATAAATTATAACAGACTGTTATTAGTATTTAACATCTTTAGGTAAAACCTAATATAGCTTACAAACGCATCATTTAACGTTGGTTGCCATCTGAGTAAAATAAGTAAATTTAACGCAGCTTTTAATAGTATTTAATAATAATTTATGTAAGGAATATAAAAAAAAGGAAAAATACAATACAAAAAAAACGACCATGAAATGGTTTGATAACGATATAGTTTAAAGAATAGTTTAATTACTTTAAAACAATATTTTTGCTTTTATCCACGCAACTAAATCTTTTAATCAAGTGAGCGAAATTTTAAAGCAGTTGTGTATAAAAAAAGCATTTAAATTTTTGATATTTTTGATTAAAAATGTTCTTTGTAATGATATTTTTTTTTTGTGTGTGTGTTTTGTGAGTTACTGATAAAGTAGGTGTAAAACGGCGTCACAAAATGGAATTTTTTACTTTGGTTTCTTTAGATTTTTCCAATTTTAACTTTTCAAGTATTTTTTTTTACGGAACTGGATTAGTAGCTCCTAATTAAAATTGATTATTAATTTTTTTTAATTTTGAGTTTTTAGTGGATATTCAGAATTAAAAAAATATATATTTTTGTCAATTTTTTAAATTGCTTTTGATAAAAACATACTAGGTAGCCATTGGAAATTCGAAATTTTCATTAAGGGAAATTTTTAAAAATCAAAAAAAAGATTAAAAAAAGTTATTTTAAAATTAATATTTAAAGTTTTATGCCTTATTTACGCAGTTGTGATAGAAAATTGTATGGCAAAGTATTGCAGATTATAAAAACTAATATTTTCAAAATTTAGGTCGCGTGAGTGAACTATTATGTAATATCAACAGTTTTTATTATATTTGTTTTATTGCTACCAGTTATAGACATTTATTGCTACCAGTTATAAACATTTATTGCTACCAGTTATAGACATTTATTGTACCAGTTAAAGACAAAAATATTGATTTGCTATTTGAAGCGTGGTTTGAATTGGCTTATGCATAACGACAAATATATTAACATTTCCTAATGTATAAATTACTGCTAAAATGCAAAAAAAATATTAACAAAATTGTAAAACTGGAAATAGGGCTATCATCTGGTAAAAAAAAAAAAATTCTGTTAAAAATCTATCATTGGTTTTAAAACTTTCTTAAATACATAATGAAAAAAATAACTATATAAACCCTATATATCTAACTAAATTGTACGACATGGTCTTTGATTTTCTCCACAAGAATTTTATTAAAAACAGCTTAATATTCTCCACAAGAATTTTATTCAAAATAGCGTAATATACTCATTTAGTCAAATATTCTTTAATAATTTTTAAACAATATTAAAATTATTCGTTTTTAAAATGAGTAGAAACTTGATAAAAATATACTTCGCGAAGCTATCTTGTTTTTTATTTTTTTATTTTCTTTGAATATATATGTAAAAATTATTTAAGTGTAAATAGCTGGGGTAACTGTAAATGGAGGCCCGCCAGATACTTTAGCAAGTCGAGTAGTTCTTTCAGGGATAATTCCTTATTTGAAGAAAGTCAAGATGTAATATGTTCGACTGCTCTGGCATTTTACTGCTTAAGATTTAATGTTTTTTTTTGAACTTTATTAGAGAGCATTGACTGGGCAAAACTTATTATTCTAAGTTGGTCGTCTGTTATGGGAATGTGTTGCTTTGCAAAAGAAATGGCTTTATTAAATATTTCGGTTGTTATTGATGGGTAAAATTCATTTATATTGAATTAAATGTATATACAATTATTTTTGTCTGGAATGTTATTAAACCAATTGATAACATCGGTTGTGTTTTTCCATTGGTTTACTTTACAGAGAAAAAAAGTAATCCTCTTCGACTTTGATTTTTATTATCTTTGATATTAATTTTTAATTATAACTGCATATATATATATATATATATATATATATATATATATATATATATATATATATATATATATATATATATATATATATATATATATATATATATATATATATATATATATATATATGCAGGCGCGGATTGAGCATTTTTTAATATTTCAGATAGCTTCCTGGCATGGAACAAACTCCAAAAATTTATGTTTATAATTATGTCTAATTAGGACGCTTTGCAAGAAATATTCAACCTTGCAAAAAAATACATGTAAAATGAGAACCACTTTATATAATTTGATAAAAATTAGTGCAAATGTAGCATAAGGCCGCTTCAAACTTTGTATAAAATTTCAGTCGGATTAGTTAACTGAAGGATTTATGGTAATTTTAATTAATTTTTTGTTAGGTTTTTGCTACTTATACCTCAAAACGTAAGCAATTACTGTGATATTCGGTCATTTTTTTCAAAATAATGATTATATGAGTGTTTTACTATTTAATACCAATAATTTTTTTTATAATTGTTTTATTGCTACAAATTTTTATTTTATAGGTTGATATATTGATTTGCTATATAAAGTATGGTTTGACTTGGCTCATGTATTACGTGAAAATATTACATTTTCTAAGGTATAAACTGCATGAAAATCTTAAAAAATGGTTGAAAAGTTTTATAAAAATATCTACAAAAAAAAATATAAAAAGATAACTAAAATAATTGATAAATAAAAAGTTTGGAGGTCAATCAGAGGAAAATCTTTTGAACGGGGCAATAGTATATATGTATATAATATACGTATATATACGTATACACACATATATATATATACTATATATATATATATATATATATATATATATATATATATATATATATATATATATATATATATATACGTATACATATATATATATATATATATATATATATATATATATATATATATATATATATATATATATACGTATACATATATATATATATAAATATATATATATATATATATATATATATATATATATATATATATATATATATATATATATATATATATATATATATATATATATTATATATATATATATATATATATATATATATATATATATATACGTATACATATATATATATATATATATATATATATATATATATATATATATATATATATATATATATATATATATATATATATATATATATATATATATATTTCCTTTAAATGAAAGAGATATGTAAGAATTATTTATTTCTAATTTAAGTAATTAATTATTTCCTTAATTTTAATCATTTTTAATTAATAATATTTTTAGGTATATTAATTTATTGTTATCCAATATAAATTCAAGTTAAATTTTGTAAAAGAGGTAGTTTGATTTAGTAAAGTTGGATTTAGTGAATTGCCAAATCAAGTATTGGCTTTAAGAAATTTTTAAATATTGGTTCAAAAAGGTTCAAAATCAAAATCGAAAATTTGTGTGCCTTCTCTGTCTGAAAAAATGTTTAAGAGAGCTTACTGTTTTCCAAACAGATCAAATATGCCAACTGTACAAAACAATGATCAATATCAGTGATTCTCGGGTACCAAGAGGGCTCTGCAAATCGTGTAGAACATTTTTTCGCAAGAAACAACTAGGGGAAAACGTTTTACTCCCTCCTTTTTTAAATTTCATTGAACTAAGTTTTAAACAAATAAGGGAGTGTAAGACAACAAATGAGACCTAACCAAGAGGCACGATGTGTTGTTGCCTTATCTGCCAAATTAATCGTTCAAAGTTGCAAGAAAAACATCCTCTTGAAGAACGAACCACCATTGAGAAAAAATCAAATTCATGTTGCAGCATATGCGTTTGCTCTTTAGAAAAAGTTTTTCCCAGTCAATGCTCTCTAATAAAGTTCAAAAAAAAACAATAAATCTTAAGCAGTAAAATACCAGAGCAGTCGAACATATTACATCTTGACTTTCTTCAAATAAGGAATTATCCCTGAAGGAACTACTTGACTTGCTAAAGTATCTGGCGGGCCTCCATTTACAGTTACCCCAGGTATTTACACTTAAATAATTTTTACTTATATATTCAAAGAAAATAAAAAAATAAAAAACAAGATAGCTTTGCGAAGTAAGTTTCTACTCATTTTAAAAACGAATAATTTTAATATTGTTTAAAAATTATTAAAGAATATTTGACTAAATGAGTATATTACGCTGTTTTGAATAAAATTCTTGTGGAGAATATTACGCTGTTTTTAATAAAATTCTTGTGGAGAAAATCAAAGACACAGCCAAAAATCCCTCCTCTACTACAACAATAACACGCGGATAAAAAAGTCGTGAAAGTTTCGACGTCACGATGGGCAGCTATGATAGCGCCGAAATTTGCGAACTCGTAGGAATCCACATACTTAATGAAATATCCGATATAATTATAAAAACCAATATAGTGCTATACCGTGATGACGGTTTATTAATAATACGTAGTTCTAACGGCCAAGAAACTGAATGAACTCGAAAAAACATTATTTAAAAGTTTAAAAACATAGGCTTTCAAATAGATATAAAAACAAATCTTATATCAGCTGACTTCCTTGATGTCACTTTTAATTTATCCCAAATCACCTTTAAACCATTCAAAAAACCTAACGATAATCTTCAATAAATTCATACATCCTCTAACCACCCACCACAAATCCTTACTACCTACTTCAATAAACAACAGACTTTCACAAAATTCCTCAAATGAAGCTATATTTAACCAATCCAAAAACGAATATGAACAAGCACTAAAAAATAGTGGATATAAAAACA